CTTGCCCGCGGGACCGATGTTTGATCCGGGCCGTGTCTGGACAGTCCCAGGACCCAACGAAGGGCCCCCGCAGGCCGGAGATGACCACAAAATCTTCCATCACAATTCTTTGAAAACGCGAGGAGGTCGAAGATGTGGGGTTCTACCTGGCGTAAACTCAAAGATCCGACGCTTCGAAAAAATTGCAGCGGCAGGTTTTTGGCCGTTTTCGGCCTCCAAGGGCCCTCGCTGGGCCTCGGGAGCGTCAAAAAGCGACCCGGGACGCAAAACTGGCCCTAAGGAAGTGTTCCAAACCTCCCGGCCTCACGCATCGATGAAATGGGAGCAGCCGGACGTCTGCGAACTAATTATACTTTGTGTGCAGCTGCCCGGAGTGGCTTGTTCGATGACTCCGCTAAGGAGCGCAGCCCATGTCGCCCATATCTAGGGCACTTCTGACTCGCTTGTGAGCTCCGCTGGGCCATGCATAGGCCGCTTTAGCATCCACGTGTGACCCCCTATCCCTTCAGCAGCACTCGTGGTCATCCTAGTGGGGGCCTGGGTGCTGCCTTCGAACCAAGCGGGCGCCAAAAAACTCCCCTATCTGGAGGCTTCCGGGGGGTCTGCCCTGGCTGGGACTCCAGAAAATCGGTCGGGCGGAGGGGATGGGGCCAAATCTGCTCAAAATCGGCCCGCGGACGCCTCCCAGGGTCCATCTGGTGCACCTGCTTCACCCCGGATCCGTTTGCCGACGGCTCCAGAACCCGACAACAACGCCCCAAGGGGGCCGAAGAGGGCAAGAGACCTCCTCGAGCTCAGGGCCTCGGACCTCTTGCCCCCCCCGTCCTGCTGGGCGGAACCGTGTGCTGGGCCACCTCGGACCCCCAGGCGACTCCCATCCCCAGCGAAGTCTGGCGGCGCGCACGGGGGAGGATAGGGGGGAGCGGGGAAGGCTTCTTTAGAACCAGGCTGCTTCTTACAGGCAAGGCCCGCGCCTTCTAAGGAGCAGGGGTGCTCCTAAGAAGCCCTCCCCCCTCTCCCCCCTACCCCGCTCTGCGCGCGGCCGACTCGTGCCCCCCCGCCCTGCTGGGCGGAAACGTGTGCTGGGCCACCTCGCACCCCCCGGCGACTCCCACCCCCCGCGAAGGCCCCCCGGGGGGCGCCGCGCTCGCCGCCAGGGCCGCGCCGGCGGCGAGCCCCACGGAAGCGGCCGCTGGGCACCGCCAGCCGCTGGGCGAGGAGGGCACGCCGGGCCTGGCGCGCAGGGCCGAAGGGCTCCGCTTCTGACCAGGGGCACCGCTGGCGGCCCGCTCGTGGCGGCGCGCACGGGGGGGGTAGCGGGAGGGGGAAAGGCTGCTTAGAAGGAGGCTGCTTCTCAGAAGGCACGGGCTTCACATCCATAGACGAGGCCCGCGCCTTCCAAGAAGCAGGGGTGCTTCTAGGAAGCCCTCCCCCTCCCCCTGCCCCCCTCTGCGCGTGGCCAACAGGCTGCCCAGATCTCCGCGGCGCGCGAGGCGCGACCATCTTCTCGGACATCCAGCGTCTCGAGAGCATCGAGGCGGAAGTTCTCGAGCGCTTCCGGCCTCTCTGGGGCCCCCTGACAGGGCCGCGGGACCGTCCAGAACGGGCTCGGGACGAAGAGCCGGTCCCAGGGAAGTGGTCGAGAGGACGGGGGCCCGTGTCTCGCAAGAGTCGAGGCGCCGGCCGTCTGGGTCCGCGCCCCTGGGGGTCACCAGGCTCATCGACCCTGCACTCGACCCGCAGTCCTTGAGGGCCGAGGGCCCAGAGACTCTCTCCCCCACCCCCGCCCCCACACCCCAGCTAGGAGCGTCAGGGAGGCCTGCGAGAGCCGCTGTGGAGCACCTCCGCGGCCGCCCCGGGATCCTCCAGCGACCCCAGTGGCCCCCTTGGAGGCCTCTGGAACGGAGTAGCTCGAAGGCTCGCCTCTCGGAGGACAAGCAGGGGTTCACCGAACCTGGCGAGGGGGGGGGGGGGCGACCCTTGGCCCCTGGGCGGTGGCACGCCCGAGCGTCAACTGGTACCAGACGAGGCTCAGACGACCTTGGTTTCTGGATGGAGGTGGTCTCTCTCTCTTCTGAGCTGAATCACTTCTCCTAGAGGCTCACGCCATTCCGCCGACCCCCAGAACAAAAACAAAAGAGCCTCTTGGGGGCGTCTTTGGGCCTCCTGGGGGCTTCTCGGTACGGAGAGCTGGAGTTGTCAGTTCGCGTTTCTTCTTGGTGGGCCCCTCTTTGGGCCATCGTGGGGCGCTCATGGTCTGCGCTGAATCTCTTTTGGGCGGTCTTGAGGCTCTCTAGTGCCGTCTTAGGGCGCCCTTGAGGGCCTGTTGGGCAGTCTTGGGACGATATTCGGGGCCTCGTGGACGGTCGAAGAATGTCGGAGCCTGGCGAAGGACCCAACCACATGCAGTTGGGAATACCGCACTTGTAGGTATCGTCCTCGGTGGAGCCCCCCTGTACGGCCGTGAAACGCTGTACTGGGCAGGGGGGACGCATGCGGACTGCGCCACTGGGGCCTCCGATGGAACGCCCTGTGGGGCCGCGAAACGCAGTACCGGGTGGGGGGCAGCGGGCACCCCCACAGGGGCCTTCGGTGGAGCCCCTCAATGGGGCCACGACACGCTCTACTGGGTGTGGCGGACGCATGCGTCCGCCACCGGGGCATTCGGTGCGCTCCATCTGGGGCCCGAAACAATGTGCTCTGGGGGGGACGCATGCGGGCACGTTTGGAACCAGGTTCCAAATCCCGTTTCGAAGAAATCCCAAACAACACGCTCGCTTTCCCAGATGTTTCGAACCGACTTGTATTGTTTGGAACCACTTTGGAACCGTCAAGAAGGCAATTTTGGCGAGGAGGTCCTATGCCGTTCGGCGATTTGGAACCGCCATCTCGTTTAGCCTTGTAAAAGTCGACTTAAGGGTCCTAACCTGGTTCCAACCCTCAAGATGCCCCCCCCCACCCCTCCCCGGCGCTCCCCCTTCGCATTGTAACAGGCTCCTTGTCCCTAACGGGACGACGCACCATCCGCGCTCGCACGCCGGACACGCATCGACCGACCATGTACAAGATGTCCGAACTTTCATCACGGCACAGTAGGGGTCGACGTCATCAAAAATCATGACGTCGGGGGTCTGGGTTCTTCACCCTCCACCTGATCCTCCTGTCTGCATACTCCCCGTCTCCCCTCCTCCTCCTCCACCACCTCCTCCAACCCCCCTCCCGCTCCCCCATCCCGAGCTCCATCCGTCCGGCCTGCACGGCGCCGTCCTGCCCCGCCGATCCCAGACGACAGTGCCCCCGCAGACGCGGAGGGCACTCGCTCACACCCCACCATCGGCGGTGGACAAACCTCCCTTTGGTAAACCTCCCCGTAGTGACAACGGCCTGAGACCGAAACCGACGGACCTGGACCCGCAAAAATGACGGCCGCGACGCCCGCTCGCGAACCGAGAACGGCCAATTCCTGAGTCGACGTGTCAGGGTAGGAGGCCTGTCCACCCCCGACCACAGGGCCCAGGACCCAGAGATCCGACGTCGCGACTTCCTCGATCACCACAAGGTCCTCGGAAGTCTTAAGTCGGGCCTGTCCCCCTACAGGGAGATTTTCGATGAATAATTCCCAAAAATGCCAACAACTAAAAAAATCCAAAATTAGTCTCGGGATTATTGTTCGACTATACATACCCCAAAAAAGGATTGAAAAATAGTCTGGGGACTATTTTTTCATTATTTTTGTTACCTCTTTGGGGTATGTTTGGGGTATGTTTTATTTTTCGTCGAAGATCCCCCTGTAGGGGAGCACGCCCGACACAACGGAAGTCCCGACTGGCTCCCCGCGGCGCGCTCCTCGACCTCGGCCGTCTCCTGGCGCTCCCTGGGGCCAGGCGGAGGATCCGAGGGGCCGACAACGGCACTGGCCTCGGGTCGGGCGTGCCCTCCTACAGGCGGACTCTTGGACGAAACAATTCTCGAAAAATCGTCCCCAGACGATTCTTCTACCATGCCTGAATATACTCCTCCTGTAGAGGGACAGGCCCGACTCGACACTGCCCTCCGTGCTGGGTTGCTCCACACGGTGGAGGTCTGGGGAGGCGGCGCGGGGGCCTGGAGCTCCCGACCCTGTCCCCCGCTCTGCCGCGGGCAGCAGCAGCTGTGAAGCCCGAGAGGGGTACCGAGGAGGAGGAGGAGGAGGAGGAGGAGGAGGAGGGGGAGGAGGAGAGGAGCATGTGTTGAGTGCCCAACAGCAAATGCTGTCCCAAGCCACCGGCGGCCGCTGTTGGGCAGACGGCCTCCTGTCTCAGGTGGACGCAGGCCGCGGCGGCGCGGACAGCGAGGTCTGTTCAAAATGAACAGGAACTGCTGTTGGGCACTGTACCCATTCTTTCCGTACCCATGTCGTTCGTACCGTTAGGTCGGGCATGTCCCCCTACAGGCGGATTTTGGACGAGCAATATAAAGTCAAAAAATGCGTTTTTTTACGTATACAAATGTGTATGTATGATACACGATTGCTTAATCCAAGAACTTTTAAACAACACGAACACTGAAACAAACAAACGACCAAAAAATGCTCAACCATTTTTGAGTATTCTCCTGATGAGGGACTAGCCCGACCTAGCCGTGCCGAAGCAGCGGGCGGCGCCGCCTCACAGCCGCAGCGGGCCCCGGGGCCGAGGGCGAGCTCCACGCAGGCGGGGGCCGGGGTGCGCCTCGCCGGCGGGGGGGGCCGCGCCGCGGGGGGGCGGTGAGCACCGCCCGACCTCCAGCGCCGGACCTCCAGCGCAGGAGGGAGGAGGAGGAGGAGGAGGAGGAGGAGGAGGAGGAGGAGGAGGAGGAGGAGGAGGAGGAGGGGGAGGAGGAGGGGGAGGAGGAGGAGGAGGAGGAGGGGAGGGGAGGGGAGGAGAGTTTCCGCCTGCACAGGCCTCCAGCGCCCTGAGAACATCGGGACGGAGTTTGCCGCGCTGTCGGCCCGGGTGGGTGGGCCCTCGCACGGGTCAGAGAGGGTGCCGTCGAGGAGCGGCTCTGGACGAAGAGCTGGCCCCGAGGGGAGGGTCGGAACTTCTGGGGATCCCGTATCTACTGGCAAAACCAAAACAAAGCAAAAAACAAGCAATAAAGAAACCTCGGATCGATGGGTCCCCTCTCAGCCCTACTCTTCCCTGTCGTCTCGCACCTCTCCCAAGCGAGCCGCCAGGATCCACCTCTCGCTCTCGAGCTGTGCGCGCGAGAAGACCGACTGTCGGCCTTCGACGGCAAACCTTCCGTGCTGGGGCCGCGCAACGGCCTCACCCATGAGCACGTGCCTCTCGTCTCTTCTCCCTCCCTCCCCCCCGTGCCCCGACAGGACGAAAACAGCACCGCTAGCGATGCACGATGAAACCACGCTGCAGCAAACGCTGAGTGGTGGACAAGGTATGAAGCAACCTATAGAGGCAGAAAAAACACATGAACATAAACTGTCGACGCTCCGCGCGGAATTCTTGGACTCGCGCTGGACCCCCCTCCCTGGCGCGCGGAGCGCGCCAGGGGCGGCGCCGGAGGCGCCGCCAGGGGGGAGAGGCGCCGAGAGCCCACCGGCTGGGAGGCGGGCGGCCCAGCTCCTCCTCCTCCCTCCTCCTCCTCCTCCTCCCTCCTCCTCCTCCTCCTCCTCCTCCTCCTCCTCCTCCTCCTCTCCTCCTCCTCCTCCTCCTCCTCCTCCTCCTCCTCCTCCTCCTCCTCCTCCTCCTCCTCCTCCTCCTCCTCCTCCTCCTCCTCTCCTCCTCCTCCTCCTCCTCCTCCTCCTCCTCCTCCTCCTCCTTCCTCCCCTCCTCCCTCCTCCCCTCCTCCTCCTCCTTCCTCCTTCCTCCTTCCTCCCTCCTCCTCCTCCTCCTCCCCTTCCTCCTTCCTCCTTCCTCCTCCTCCTTTCTCCCCCTCCTTCCCCCTCCTCCTCCTCCTCCTCCTCCTCCTCCTCCTCCTACTCCTCCTCCTCCTCCTTTTCCTCCTCCTCCTCCTTCCTCCTCCTCCTCGCTCCTCCACGGGCCACTCATAGAGAGCAGAAGATTCAACCCGATAGATCACCGCCCCGACACGCGAAGCCGTTCGGCAAACGCACCCAGAGAAGGAATCGAGCAGGGCAGGGTTGTTCAGTAAGCGCCCAGGGCCGTTTCGTAGACGCCAATTGTCCGGTCCGGGTGTTTTTTCCTCCCTTGAACTCACGCCGCGCATGCCCAACTTGTCGCCACGCAGCAAGCCGCCGATCGGCCACGCAGGCGACACGCAGCGAACAGCATGCCTCTCTCGCCTCCCCTACCTGCCCATCCTTTAGGAGGCAACTCCTGGATGTCCTCGTGGGAACTGTCAAGGGCTACTCGCCGCTGAGCCAGATTAGCACAAATTCGGCCCAGGATGAAGCCCGACTAGGCAAGATCAGGCGGGGCCAAGTGGGGCGAAGCTGGACTCTGCCAGATTAGGCCTGTTTCCGACCACGGGTACAACCAGCGCCGATGATATAGTCAACATCCCAAGAATTCCACACTAACTTACCAATCCGTCCCTTCCATCTGGTCCCTCTCACCCCCCTCCCTCCCGTACCCCTCTCTCGAAGCCCCCTATCCGATCCCTCCCAACGCATGCCGAGCGGCCTTTTGAAGCAGGATAGGGGAGAAAGGGAGAAAGGACGACGACGACGACGATGACGACGACGACGACGACGACGACGACGACGACGACGACGGGGAAGGGGGGGGAGGGGAGGGGAGGGGAGGGAAGGGAAGGGAAGGGGATAGTAGAAAGGGAGCGTGCCATTGTCTGATGCTTGTCCACCGACTCTAAGATCGACCTCCTCCGCACATGCGAATGAAACTCCTATTACGGGCCTCCGCTGCACCTACCAGCGCAAAACAAACCAAAACAACGAGACCCTCTCACCCATTCCATTCCGACCAGCATTACCACCCAGCAGACCAATGAGCAGCTCCCTCCGCCAGGTTGAGCCCATCCACGTCAAAAATGCAGCCTGCAAAAACAAAAGAATGTCCATGCAGGTGTACAACGCCAGGTGGAAGAAGGAAGGACATGAGCAGGGACAGCCCGCGAGCGCCTCGCGACCAGCATCCTGACCCGGCCAGCCTTTCAAGATGGGGGGCAACGGGAGGCGAGAAACGGGCACGTCCCCATTTTGGACGGCATCGATGGGGACGAAGAACCAACAGCAGATGGTGCCTGAGACGGACAACGCCAGCGTGGGCACGAAGCCCGCATAGGCGGACCACGTCCGCTGTAGATACCGACAGCGGCCCCTGCGCGTTCCTTCCTTTGGACGCCCGAAATGGGTACGGAAAGAATGGGTACAATGCCTAACAACAAATGCTGTCCCAAACCAACAGCGGCCGCTAGTGGGCAGGAGGCGGCCTTCTGTCTCAAATGGACACAGGCCGCGGCCGCGCGGACAGCGAGTCCGTCCCAAAATGAACAGGAGTGCCGTGGGCATTGTGCCCATTCTTTCCATGCCCATTTCGTTCGTGCCGACCTCTGTCCCCAGTTCGGCGCCCTCGAAGAGGAGGGAGGGGGTTGGAAGTTGACACAGGTGACCCTGCCCCAGGATGCCCACAATGCTTAGGATTAGGTCGGGCGTGTCCTCCTACGAAGGGATTTTGGACGAAAGGGCAAAAATGGTCAAAATATACCCCCAAATGGTCAAAAATGGTCGAAGGATCGTCCCCAGACTATTTTTTCACTGCATTTGAATATACCTCCTGTAGAGGGACAGGCCCGACGTGAGCTTGGGAGCCCCTGGGGACCCCTGGGCCTCGAGAGGAGAAGAGCCCCTGGGGGCCTGCGCTCCCCCAGGGGGGCAGGGCTGCGCACCCCCGCTGCCCCCCCCCCCCCCCCCTCGGGCCGCCAGGGCCCCCCGCGCGCGCCCGAGAGGCCTCGCGCCGTTGCGCCGCCCCCACGCCGCGTTTGCACCCTGTCCTCCAATCGAGGCACGTTTTCACTCGGGCCTGTCCCCCTACAGGGGGATTTTCGGCGAAAAATGCAAAATACCCCGACCTAAGGCCAGTGCCGTTGTCGGCCCCTCGAAGCCTCCGCCTGGCCCCGGGGGCGCCAGGAGACGGCCGAGGTCGAGGAGCGCGCCCCAGGGAGCCAGTCGGGACTTCCGTTCTGTCGGGCGTGTCCCCCTACAGGGGGATTTTCGACGAAAAATGAAAAATACCCCAAAATACCCCAAGGAGGTCAAAAAATACTCAAAAAATAGTCCCCGGACTATTTTCGGACCATTTTTTGACTATTTCGGGGGTATTCTTAATTTTTCGCCGAAAATCACCCTGTATGGGGGACAGGCCCGACTTAAGGCACGTTCGAGGACGGGGGGGGTCCAAAGTGCACGCTGCACACTGTCGCGCCGCCTTCCTCCGACGCGCGGGCCCCCCTGGAGTTCCTGAAATCCTATTCGGTGGAGCCGGCCTCTCGTCCTCTGGGTGTGCCGACGAGGGGGAGCCAGGAAAAGTGAAGATAGCGCATCGTGGCGCGAGGCACGTTCTAGGACAGGGGGGGGGGGCCAGGAAACATGCTGCGAGAAGAACAAGGGGCCATGAGATCGGGGAGATCTGGTGGCCCCAGCCATGGTATCCACTCCACCGACCCCCCACCCAGTCATCACCCCCTCTTGTCGGCAGGCAAGCAGGCCTTCTCAGAGGGTCGCGGGACTCACTCGAAGCACTCTGTGGCGTCGGAGAACGCTCAGGTCGGGCCTGTCCCCCCACAGGGGAATGTTGGACGAAACATACGAGTAGTCAAAAAATACTCCAAAAGGGTCAAAAAATGCTCAAAAAATCGTCCCCCGACTTAACCCTGTCCATGCCTGCACCCTGCCTGGGCCTCGAAGCAGGCCGTGTACGCCCGCTGGACCGAGAGACAGGGATTGGGATAAGGAAAGCAGACTGCAATGCGAAAAGGATGGGGGGGGAGGAGGTCACGCCACTGCCAGGGCACGACCCCTGCCCCGAAGGTACCCCCATCTCTTCCAGGGCGGCTCGGACGGCCCAAAGATAGCACCCCTGAAATCTCGAGTAGGGATCGACTACAGAACTGACTTACCCTAGAATTGACTTGCCCATCAAACCTATGAGAAACGCGTAGACTGTTCGTAGATCTACGAACATGAGACGTATGACTCGACGAAAAAATCATGCTCGGGGTAAATCAATTATGTATTCGATCCCCCACTCGAAGACCTGGAGTCACCACGAAAAAAACCCTTCTTTGTGGCGGCCCCGGGTGTCCCACAGGTCCGAAGTGGGGGAAGCCCATGGCCGGACGACTCCCCGCTGCCCACGGGGCCTCAGGGAATCCCAAGCTGGCGCGAGAAGCGGCGGGCACTGGACGGTTTCCCCTGGGGCCGTACGCGACCTGGGGAGGGGAGGAGGATGGGGAGGAGAAGGAGGAGGAGGAGGAGGAGGAGGAGGAGGCGGAGAAGGAGGAGGAGGAGGGAGGAGGAGGGGGAGGAGGAGGAGGAGGAGAGGAGGAGGAGGAGGGAGGAGGAGGAGGGAGAGAGGGGCAGGAGGAGGGGAGAAGGAGGAGGAGGAAGAGGAAGAGGAGGAGGAGGAGGGAGAGGAGGAGCAGAGACGAGGAGGACGGGTCGCCTAAGCCCTTCGGAGAAACCCTCCAGTGGACACTGCCTGGGCCAGCACCTCCACCTCTGGCCACCTCCAGGGAGGCCGATATGCGGCGGGCCGCGGCCTTTCCGGCCCCAGCAGGGGGCGGGCACGCTCCCCTGGGCGACGTTGGGCCGGGGCCCTGGCTGGGCACGGCGGCGCGGAAGGGGGCGCCCCACCGCGGACGCGAGGACAGAACCCGCCGAGGCCGCGGCGGCGGCGCGGGCGGGCGCCTCCGCCCGCGGTCGCGGGCGCCCCGGCGTGGGCGAACGCGGCGGTCATGCCGGCGGGAGGGGGGCCACGGCGCGGGCGGGCCCAGCGGCGCGGCCAGCGGCTCGGCGGGCGGCTCGGCGGCGCGCCCGACGGGGGCGGCTAGCTTGGGCGGCACGCCCACGTTTCCCGATGCCCCTGCCTACGGCATGCAATCGGAGTGAGAGTCCCGATGTGCTGCTGGCCTCCTCCTCCTCCTCCTCCTCCTCCTCTCTCCTCCTCCGCCTCCTCCTCATCATCCTCCTCCTGCCTCCTCCTCCTCCTCCTCCTCCTCCTCCTCCTCCTCCTCCTCCTCCTCCGCCTCCTCCTCATCCTCCTCCTCGAACTCGCCAATCAATGTGTGCACACCGCTTTTATGAGGCCCGGGTTTGCGTGTGTGCGTGCGTGTGCGTGTGTATGTGCGTGTGCGCGTATCCGCGTGCATGTGTGTATGTGCGTGTGTGGATGTATGCGTGTGTGTGTGTGCGTGTGCGTGCGGCCCCTCGTCTGAGGATTCGGCCGCGCGCGTTAGGTTCCGTGCAGTTCGCTCGACGTTCTCCGCCCCGTCGCTGCGCGCGAAGCCGCGACCGCCAAAAGTATATGCGTGTGTGTATGTGTCTGTGTGTGTCTTTGTCTGTGCTCGTGTCAGTGTCTCTGTCGGTATGTGCTTCTCTGTCTGTGCCTGTGCCTGTGCCTGTGCCTGTGTCTGTGTCTGTGTCTGTCTCTGTATATGTGTGTGGTTGTATGTGTGTCTGTGTGTTCCGCCTCCTTTTTCGGCCGCGCCTTACCCCTTATCCTCCTCTTGCATGGTGGCACACTTCGCTTTAACGGCAGTGCGCGTGCCCTGTGAGTGTGTGCGCGCGTGCGAGCGCGCGTGAGCTTGTGGGCGCGCGGGCGAGGGCGCGGCGGGCGACGCGGGCGCGCGCGCGCGCAGGTGGCGACCACGGCCCCCCCACGCGCCTCGCCAAAGGGCATCTTTTATGGCGGATCAGGGCGAGGACGTCACCCAGGATGCGCGAGAACGGCAGCAGCCCTGCTGCTGCTCCTTCGAAACCGCCCTCGGGCGCTGCCGCTCCGCGGTGGGAGCGCGTCATGGACGCCACCCCCCTTCGGGAGCTCCTGCGCTGAAGCGCAATGGCCATACCCGGGCACCACCATCTCCACCAGGAGATCGGGCCCCCATCCCCCCCAGCTACAAGCGGATAGGCCCCAATTCTCCCAGCGATCTCACCCGGGGCACCTGGACCGAAGCCCCCAGCACAGCGCACGAGCCCTCATCCGCACAACGCCCATCCTTCCCTGGGCCGGCGCGCAGCTGCCTGGCATGCCTACATAGCTTCTGTCATTCCTTATCCCGTTCACTATAGCCTCCCCAGCGCCGCCGCAGGCGCCGACCTGCTTGCCCAAGTCCGCGTCGCTCTCGACGCTTCCAGGAACGCGTGGCTACCAGCCTTCGTCCTCACGGGGACCGGCCCGTGCCACCAGGTCCCCGGCTGCCCGAAGTGCCCCCGAACTACCACGGGGGCCGTCGCCGCCCCTGCCCCTGCGCGCCAGGACGTCTGCGGGCCCCTGCCCGCCCAGACCAAGGCTTCCCGCCTCTGGCGCAGGGCGGCACGGCGGCCCAGACCCAACCCAATCGCCACCCCCTGCGACGTCCGCGGCCTTGCGCCGTCACCCGCGGCAGGGCTGCACAGATCAGACTGGCACAAGTCCCACAGATCCCCCCGGGCCAGACCTCCATGGCGGGGCAATCTACGTCAGCATATGGGCCACCCAGCACGCCGGCGCTTATAGATAGTGGATGCACTCGGCCAGCGCCAGGCGGAGGTGGGCGCCCGGCGAGGGGCAATGAATGGGGGCTTCTGGCCCACGCCCACAACTTTACTGCTACCTGCCATATCCTGAAATTTCGGGCCAACGGCCTCCCGGGCAAAGCAAGATGGAGGGCCGCCATCGACCGACCCCCTCTTCGTTGCTCAGCGCGCCAATCCCCAGGGCGAGCTGTCTGGCACACAGGGAGCCGAGACGCTCCCGGGCAAACCTGGCGCGAGCTCTGTCTCCGCCCATGGGCCGGTAAGGATGCCAGGTGGGCCGCGCTCGAGGGCCACCGTCTCCCTGAAAGGCTGGTCGACGCATGGCGCCACCTCGGGCGCGACAACGCCCGCCTCGTCCCCTCGCCCTCGGTCAACCGAAGTCCCAACGGCTGCTGCCCGCTACGCGGGCAGGGGGAGGCCAGTGACGAGCACATTTGGAACTGGCGCATTGCTGTGGCGCTCGCGCGGCACCTGGTCCGCCTCCCCCACTCCCCTCTCACCGCTGCAAGGGCCATCCTACAGCGAGGCGACCACTCCAAACCACTGGCTGACCTTTTGCATCAAGCTGCCTACTGGTACGCGGTGGCGCTCGATCACCCTCCCCTGAACCCCGACTCAGCTGCCAAAATCATTCGGGCCACCACCATCCCAGACCGGGCGGCAGACCAACCTGCCGACGAACCCGGCCAGGGAGATCCTCACAACACCTCTCTGCATACTAGCGATGCCTGGGCCCGGCGCGACGAGCCCCGCCCAGGCTGCCGCCCCCACGCTCAACATTCTGGCAGGATCCGCCCAACCACACCTCACCCGCTCCGCTCCACGAGCCAGAGGTGAGGTAAGACTGCTCCCCATAAGCACGCGTGGAGTCCTGGCCAAAACAGCTCTCCTCCGCTCGATGTGTGATGCGCCCACCGGAGGCTGGCTGCTCGCCGCGCGGGAAGGGGCCCCGTGCCCACGTCAAACTAGCGACCACCATAACTCGCGGAGGGAACAACAGTTTTGCCAGACCTGCCGCCAGCACAGGCATCCCACGGTCCCCCTTCCTTGACCAAGATCGGGCGCAATGGCCGCTCGAGCCTAACTTTGACGGGGGCGCAAGAATGCTGGGGCACGGCAGGGCTGCCGGGGCCGGCGCCACCCTGCACGTGGCGGCACCCCTAAGACGGAGGACACCCGGCACGCCTTGCATCGTGCATCGGCGCCCTGCTGGGCACGGAAGACGCTCAGACGGCTGAAGCCGCGGGATGTAGAGCAGGGCTCAGCGCCCTTGCCACGACTAGCCCATCCGCACGATTGGCGACGGCTGTGGGAGACAACCTCGCGGCGATTTGGCGCGGCGCTGGGACTGCCAGGTACCCGAGGCCCCAGCTGGCCGCGCAGACGGGCATGGGACTGGGCCCCTCGTTCAGAGAGGTTGGGCCCTGGATTGGTTGGCGGTGCGACGCCGCTTGAAGATTGCCAGCGATAGGTTGGCCACCATCGGCGTCTTCTGGGCTCAGGCCCTACGGGCTGCGGGGCACGCCAAGGTCCACGACTGGACCATCTGGCCAACCTCGCCACGCCGGGGACCCCTCCCCGCCCCGTTCCCCCTTCCCGCCTCCGCCCCCCTCGATCCCGACCCCCTCTCCGCGGCAGCCGATAACCTGGAACAGGCCTGGACCCAGAAACCATCACGCCGTCACAGGATCGGGCGCGCCCCCCCCGCCACGCTACGGCGCGGCTGCTACCCCCCGCCCAGCTCGGCAGCTGCTGCGGTGCTTTACTTGTCGGTGCAACTGTTCAACTGTTCGTTGCTTAACCCGACATGGCCCCTGCTCAGCGGTGGCCCGCAGTCTTATTTTTGGAGTGAAGATGAAGTCGGTTCCAGGAAGTGAACTAATACTAAAACTGGCTCTAGAGAGCTGAGCTGCTCAGGCAACAAAGTTTATATGTCAATGCTCGGCGTAAAAATCTGTTTTCTCAAAACTGGGCGCCGGCGGTAAACCGTCAACCTTTCTCACCGCCGGGGGACTCGTAGAGCTTCCTCACAATATATAATATCGAAAAAAATTGCAGAGAACGAATAATTTTTCAGCCCAAGCGATTTCAGACCTCTCGATGCAGCCGAACGCCCCCCGATGCTTCTGGATTGTCTTCTGTACGAGCTCTGCTACAGCCCGACTTACGTGCGTCAATCGACACCACCTCTCAAGATGACTCGAACAAAACGAATAGTTTGGCAAACCCAGCTCGAGTATGAGACCGAGTTCAGACCTCTGAATGCGACAGGCAGACGCGTCTGATGTCTCCCAATCGATTCCTGTGATTACCCAGCCCGAGTTAAGTGCAGAAAGCCGACAGCACCTTTCAGGATGACTCGAACAATACGAACAGTTTCGCGGACCGAGCTCGGGCAGCAGACCGAGTTCCGAGCTCTGGATTCCACAGGCGGACGCGCCTGATGTCTCTAAATCGATTGCTGTCACCACCAGCACTGTAGTCCCCCTAAAGCCCGAGTTAAATGCAGAAAACCGACAGCACCTCTCAAGGTGACTCGAACAATACGAGCAGTTTCGCGATTCTGGATCGAGCAGCAAACCGAGTTCAGAGCTCTGGATTCAACAGACAAACGCGACTGATGATTCTGAATCGGTTTCTGTAAGCATCAGCCTTGTAGCTGTCCTATAGCTCGAGTTAAGTACAGAAAACCGAGAGCGCCTGTCAAGATGACTCGAACAATACGAATAGGTTTGCGGACCTAGCTCGGCTAGCAGACCCAGTTCAGACCTCTGGTTGGAACAGCCGAACGCGCCTGATCATTCTGAATCGATGAGATGTGCTTACCAGCTCTGTAGCTGTTCTATATCTCGAGTTAAGTTCAGTATACCGACAGCGCGAATCAAGATGACTCGAAACGGCCGATCCCGCCGCAGTGCTTTTTGGCAGTAAAAGGTACCGGATCGAGCTGAGATCCAGATGACGAGCGGGAATAAGATCGAATATCACGGGAAAAAATACTAGAGCTCTAACGAATTGTTGAATGTCGAGAACAAAATTTTCAACCGACCAAAATTCCTCTAAATGTCCGTCGAGATTTTTCTTGCCAACTAGCTCTCCAGCGCCCCGGAATTACTCTTAACCTTCCAGCAATAACTGGCTAAGGGAAGCTCTACGAGTTATAACTGGTCAAATATCTTCGAATCTGAGCAAAACCAACCCAAAGTCACAGCTTTCTCCTTTCTGGTCGGGTCGACCAACTGGAACCGGCGGTAAACCGTCAACCAGGTTACCGCCGGGGGCCTCGTAGAGCTCTTTCCTCGCAC